TTCCCCCCCCCCCCCCATCTCTCGCAGGCAGCCCGGGTGGGATTAAAAAGACACGAGGGCGGGACGTGTGACTACCGCTAGCGGGGAGGCTCCGGAAAAAGCAAACCCATTCCATCCATTCATTTATACCTTGCACAAAACTTTGTTGGTCTTAAAGGTGCCACGGGACTCAAATATTTACATGATATTACTAAATATCATAAGCAAAAATTTCCCACGGCAAAGTCACAAAGCCGACATCAGCTGACAAATTTAGCTGCAAACTAATCAATTTCCAACTGCAAATTATACTCCATTTATCTCAGGGAATGCTCTAACAGATAATGAAACTGAAGCTCACATACTTTGGCCACCAAATGAGAAGGGAGCGATCACTGGAGAAGACCCTGATGCTGGGAAAGATTGAAGGTCAAAGAAAGATACAAAATACCTAATTGCAAATACAGTATTTACATTATAGAATATTACTAAATATCATAAGCAAAAATTTAAACACAGCAAAAAGCACAAAGCCAACATCAACTAACAACTTAGCTGCAAGCTAGTCCATTTTCAAATATGAATTATACTCATCTTGAGCAATAGTATGTTTATCACAGTCAATAAAAGATACCAAATAATACATAGTTTTCCAAATTTACAATTCTTATTCCTCATTTGCCCCTTCAATTATTTTATTTACTATGCTTTGCTTATTTAGTAATACATAAATTCTTTGAATTCAGCTCATGTCTCTTATATCCAAAGAGGCCCAGGAGAAATTTCACTATTGAAACTAATAGCTAGATCGGAGCCATCAAGCAAGAGTTGAAGCTTACTTGCTATGGGCAAGTCAGCATCGGGAACTAACCGATCAGTGAATTGTGCTCTTAGATGCTTGAATCGTTGCCAGAAAAAAAGGACACACTCTACCTATGCTTTCAATAGAGCCAGAACCACAGCCACATAAACGCTCAGAGTAGGGTTTTTTTTTAGTGTAGCGCTCACTCAAGACGGCAGTAGGTATTACATTGAAACTAGCTAAAAATCCTAAAAGAAATCAACCCTGACTGTTCCCTGGAAGGCCAGATCCTGAAGCTCAAATACTTTGGCCACCAAATGAGAAAGGAGCACTCACTGGAGAAGATTGAAGGTCAAAGAAGACCGGGACGGCAAAGGATGAGATGGTTAGACAGTGTCATTGATGCAACGAACATGAAATTGAGCAAGCTTCAGAGGACAGCAGAAGACAGGAGGGCCTGGCGTGATCTGGTCCATGGGGTCGCAAAGAGTCGGACTCGACTGTGCAACTGAACAACAAGAAAAAAAAGATGTTCTATAAGCTGAGATGGTCAAGAAATTTGTATAGGGACAGCAGGACTTAAGATACGTAAAACAAAAAATGCCGAAGAGCACACAGTAGGGGCACGGAGAGCACTACTATTTAGGTCCCATTGAAATAATCTTTTTCATCGGGGCAGGCTGAAGAGAAAGACACAGTCAGCAAGCAAGCATCCAACCCCACCCTCTGAAGTTTGGCACCTACATGCCCAAATAAGGGATTAGGAATCCCTTAATAGCAAGCTTAAAAGCCAGCCCATGGGAAGGGCCAAAAGGAATTTTAATTGATAGCTAAAAATTGAGGCCCATGCTTTTGCCATCAAGGATCGAATCCCCAGCTTGGCTCTGATAGCGATCCCAGCTACACAATAAGGGGCAGCCAACAGCTTTCTGAGAAATCTGCGCAGAATAGTATGGAACACTTCACCTACTGAGTCAGCCCACAAGGGAACGCCATATAGAAGCTGGGTAGCTGCTTTTGCTTCAAAAAGCTTGACAGCCAAGGGAACACATTGTCTACCTCTAGAAAAGAAAAAAAAAACGTTTAATTTCCTTAGACGTTCTTAAGGCCTTCTCTTCCATAAGGCCTAGGTGGTTCTTCCAGTCAGAATGGACTAAAATTTCAAACCTAAATAATTATAGCTAGTTCTTTGTTGAGATTTATTGCCATTTAATTGGCAAGCGTATAAAGTGGGTCGGGGGTTCTTTACAAAAACTACTAAGATTTATCATAATTAATAGTTAAGCCCTCGTTACTACAGTAATCCCCAAGTGCTTTCACTAAATCATGCAATCTGACCGGGGAACAGGCAATCAGCATACATAAGCAAAGAAACTGGAAAATTTGCCAACACAGGTGCATATGAATTGGGGAACTTGAGCTTGTCTGGAAGATCATTTATTAAAAAGGTTAAACAAGCAGGGTGCCAAAACGCAATTTTGCCTAACCCCTCTATGCAGATTAAAAGAATCTGGCAACAGTCCATGATTATTAATTTGGAGCTGTGCTTCAAATGTTTTGTATAGCAATCGTATTAACCAGAGTACAAGGGCATCTGTACTGTAATTGGCAAGTTTCTGCCACAGTCTATTTCTTGGGCCTGAGTCAAATCTGCAACAAAGCTGCACCGGTTCTCTAGGTTTAAAAATTAGGGTTGCCAAGTGGAAAAATCGCCGCGGCAGGGTACTCCCGGCTGGCCATCTGAGGGAAAACCATAGAGTTTTCCCTCGGATGACCGTGGCCCCGCCCCCAGCGTGCCCGGTGTCCTCACATCACTTCCGGGTGACGCGCACGTCGGGGTGGGGTTCCCCCCGGGGCCCAATCCGCCGCTAGCAGGGAATGGGCCTCTGGGGCGGGGGTTTCCCCGCCCCCCGGTGGGACTTGGGAAGCCTATTAAAAATAGATTTAGTTTTCGAGTAGCCATGAGGGGTAGCTAGCAGCATGGCAAGCCACTTAATGAGGAGGAAGCATATTGTTGCTGTTTTCCCCCCAGCAAATCTGAATTTTCTCATAATTAGACTATTTTGGGATAAAATTCCTGTCCCTGTTCTAACTACCTGGCCCCCTGCAACATTACAGTTTATTTATTTAAATTTATATCCCGCCCTCCCTGCCAAGGCAGGCTCAGGGTGGCTTACATATAAAACAACTAAAACAAAAATTGAGTAAAATCATAACAGTACAGTTATAAAATATATAACGTGAAAGCTTGAACACTTGTTTTGGGTCAACATAAATATGACTCGCAAGCAATTCTCCTTACTCCAGTTAAACGAGCTGGGGAAGAAGACGGCGGCCTTGCCAACGTGGGGATACAGGGGCTTGCCTTACAGTGGCTTGTCTCTTTTCTCCAGGGTCGGGGACAAAGGGTGGCACTAGGTGAACAGCAGTCTGGGAGATGCCCACTTGAGTGTGGGGTGCCTCAGGGCGCTGTGCTTTCCCCGATGTTGTTCAACATCTATATGCGTCCCCTTACCCAGGTGGCTAGGAGGTTTGGGTTGGGTTGTCATCAATAT